TGGTGGGGGCGGTGGGGGCCAGCCACCTCCCTTGCAGAGGGGCAAGTCTCAGCAATTGACAGTGAGCGCTGCCCAGAAACCCCGGCCATCCAGCGGGAACCTATTGCAGTCCCCGGAGCCAAGTTATGGCCCCACCCGTCCACGGCAACAGAGCCTCAGCAAGGAGGGCAGCATTGGGGGCAGCGGGGGCAGCGGTGGCGGAGGGGGTGGGGGGCTCAAGCCCTCCATCACCAAGCAGGTAGGTGAGGGTAGGAAGAAGGTGGGGTGGGTGAAGAGCAGGGAGGGAAAGAGATGGGGCAGCAAGTGGAGGGTGGAACAGTGAGGTAGGTCTAACGTTAGTTTCTCCCCTTTGTTAAATGTCTGGCCAGGCAAGCCTGTATTCCCAGCGTTTAGGCTGAGGCAGGGTGACTGCAAGTCTGAGGTCAGCTCCAGGCACACAGTGATACTCTCTCAAAACAAAGCCTTCACAGATATGTGTAGAAGGCTTGTAAGGCCCATGAGTTGTTATTATGTGGTGAGAAGCAGAAGGCCTGTCTTCGGTGCTCATTCCAGGGCCGCAGGGTCAGTTACTTCGCCAGTATTGAGATGGTGTAGGCCTGGAGCAGAAGCGTGGGTCTGGGGTGTCGTTTCTGTTGGCTCTGCCCTCACCCACCCTCCCTCTCCCGACTTTTCTGCCCTGTGCCCCAGCATTCTCAGACGCCGTCCACCCTGAACCCCACCATGCCGGCCTCTGAGCGGACTGTGGCCTGGGTCTCCAATATGCCTCACCTGTCGGCTGACATCGAGAGTGCCCACATCGAGCGGGAAGAGTACAAGCTCAAGGAATACTCAAAATCCATGGATGAAAGCCGGCTAGATAGGGTACGCCGGCCTGCCCTCCGAGCCCCAGTCCCTCACACGCCTGGGGAGGCCTCTGGTCATTTGTTCCAAGGGAAACATCCAGGCTCAGGTATCCGGGTAAAAGGAAAAGAAAAATACCCAATATACCTTTTCTAGTCTTTTGGGGGAGGGGAGGATTGTACTCAGTCTGTTTAAGTCCAACTCAACCCTGTTTTGTGGGTTATATACACTATAGATTGGGGAGAAAGCTATTTAGGCTCTGAGGAAGACTGGCTGCAGGATTAGTGCATGTGCAAAGAATCTTTTCCAAGCCAGGCCTGGTGGCAAGGCTGTGAAATCAGTTGCTCAGGAGGCTAAGGTAGAAGGATGCCAAGTTCAAGGCCAGCCTGTTTCAAAATAAAAAGTAAAAAGAGAACTAGTGATAGAGTCCATGGTAGAACGTTTTGCCTAGAATGCATGAGTACCAGCAAGTTCCATTAGAGATTTAAGCCGTGAGGCCCCAGGGCAGCTGTCATAGGCAAGGTTCTCTCTCCCATGCATTAGAATGGTGTCCATTAGGTATGCGCCTTCCTAGAGGAGGCTACAAGCTCTCAGCTTGCTTTCTTGTCCAAGCTTCAGATGAGAAACGCTCCAGACCAGCACTAAACCCAAGCTTTCTCAAGTGCTGACACTGTGCTGGAGTGGGCACTGCCATGCTGGCCTCCTGTGGCTTATGGCCACCATATCACATGTGGATACTGTTGCACTTGAGAAGCTGAATTTTTAAGAGTTATTTAACTTCTAAATAGCTACATGTGGGCTGAGGATAGAGCTCATGGTGAGACTCTGGGTTTGAGCCCCTTCACTGCAAAGCATAAAACATAAAGTAACTACCTGTGTCTAGTGGCTATTAGATCAGCCTGTAGCCTCTGGAGCCAACAGGGAAGTGAAATGACTCTTCTCAGCTGTTCTAACCCTGGAATCCGATGTGTATTAAAAGTCACGTTCTCAGCCTGGGGTCTCGAGAAGACCTCTCTCCAGGATGGGACTAAGGGAGTCACACCTGACCCACATCACCCTTTTTTCCTGTTTCTCCCTTGTGCCTATTCTTGGCTTCAGAGGAAAGTCACTTTAGCTTTCATTTCTAGATTGACTTAAGGTGTGTCCAGGAGTCTTCCTAGGCTGTTCTTTGGGTCCCGGTATTCCCAGTGCATGTGTGAGGGCACGGTATGCTTCTGAGTGCAGGACTTTGACCTTGCAGCACATCAGGGCTTTCTCAAAAGCAGAGCAAGTATGGTCAACAGGCAGAGAAAGGGTTGGGTGCCCCCCTCCTGCCACACCATGGCTGGGCAGACGGAGGTGGTGGAACCAGGGCAGGGCGCCCCTCACAGTGCGGGGTCATGTGCCCGGCGGGCAGGTGAAGGAGTATGAGGAAGAGATACATTCGCTGAAGGAGAGGCTACACATGTCCAACCGGAAGCTGGAGGAGTATGAACGGAGGCTGCTGTCCCAGGAAGAACAGACCAGCAAAATCCTGATGCAGTACCAAGCCCGCCTAGAGCAGAGTGAGAAGAGGCTGAGGCAGCAGCAGGTGGAGAAGGACTCCCAGATCAAGAGCATCATTGGCAGGTGAGGGGCGGCCCGGGGAGGGGTAAAAGGGAGCCCAAGGTCAAAGGGGAGCAGAGCAAACTACCTTCCAGCCCCCTGCTCAACTTGGGAGAGCCTACCAGTTTCCTCTCAGAGATGCCAGGACTCACCTGTAGCAGTTGGGAGAAACCTGCTTAAGGCATTAGATGATCCTTTACGCAGGCCTGACATCTTACAGACTAACTGCTGAAGCTCTGGGGAGTATACCAATCGCTGTCTTACCATTGCTATCTGGACACAGCCCAGGCTGAGTCTCTACTGATTATTCTCAACCCAGCCTTTGAGGGTCACCCAGAGCTAGCAGGAAACCCTAGCCAGAGGAGCCCCTGTGCACTCCTGTCCAGAGCAGAGCTCCCTCTCCAGCCTTGGGAAGGGGTTCATGAGAAAGGGGGTCTTTGAGCCTGTCAGGTTCCCATTTGCTCCAAAGGAGCTGGTTCAACAGGGACCCCAAGCCCCACTCTCACCAGACCCACTCTAATCTGCTACAAATGGGGTTTTGAGTAAGGCTTAATCAGAAGACAAGGGCTTCTTGACCTGAAACACTTGAAACTACTGATAGGACATTTTGTGAGCTGTGGCCTTTACCAAAGGCAGAGATGCAGGGAAGGGTAATGGTTATAGAGCTTGGTCCTGTAGTGTCGTCCCAGGGCTGCTGTGGAGGTAGCCTGGGTTTGTTGAGATGGCATGGGGCCACAGAAGCCACATATCTTCAGCCACAGAGGGCCTATGGGAAGGGCACTGTAGTCCAGAAAGGAGGACTGCACTGGGGGTGGCTGGGTGGTAGGTCTGAGACCCAGAAATCTAACCTCAGGATCCAGGAGTGGTGGCAAAAAGCCTATAATCCCAGCACTTAGGAGGCTGAAGCAGGACAGCCTTGGCCCTGTTGTGAGTTCCAGGCTTCCTGGGCCACAGTGTTGGGACCCTGTCTCAAAAAACTGAAAGGAGAAAATCAAGTCTTTCCTTAGAAGGGAGACGTGAGGGTCCCGAGAGCAACTCGGAGCAGGACTCTGAGTGACGGCACCTTGAAGACGAGGAATTCTGTGAGGATGGGAGGATGCCTAAGGCTTTTCCAGAGCTGCAGGGATTCTCAGGGGTCAGGAGCCTGTGGGCAGGCTCCGAGCCTGTGCCCGCCACTAACCCCACTGAAGCCCGTCCCTTCAGGCTGATGCTGGTGGAGGAGGAGCTGCGCCGGGACCACCCTGCCATGGCTGAGCCGCTGCCTGAACCCAAGAAGAGGCTGCTCGACGCTCAGGTGGAAATTACAATGTCATTTATCTTCTCCGTGTCCCATCCCCATCCATCCCACTGTCCTTCGTGCACTCACTGCACCAGCCACCCTGGCCCCATCGCCATCTGTCTCCCGTTGTCCTCTGTTTGTCTACTGGCTGCTCCCTCCTTGCAGCCCCCCAGTCACCCATCTGCATCCCATCGTCTGTGCCTCTGTCACTCCTAGCAGTGTCGGTCCTACCCCTGTGCCTTCCTGCCCCATCTTCCTACCCCTGTCTGCAGTGAGACCTTTCACCAGTGCCTCAGCCTCTTGGCCAACACGTGTGCAGACTCTTGCCCCTTCTTGGCTTACTCCTGTTCCAAGCAGGGTCTGCAGCTTCTTAGCTCCTCTTGGGCCAGGAAGGCTAGAAGTTGCTCTTTGATAGAATGGAGCACAGGGTAATCTGAGGTACAGTTTCTCCGGTCCTGGAGGGTGCCCTAGTGACTTGGGGTTCTCTTAGCTTCCCATTCTCACTCCTTGGCAGGTCCTGCATAGCTTCCTGTTCCTGGCTCTTCAGAACCCAAAGGCCTCTTCCACAGTCCCCTTGCCTAGTTCAAAGTCCAGTGTCCCCTTGGCCTCCCTCTCGGTGCTCTGCAGACCTGCTTTCCACTCCTGCTGCCACTCTCTCTGCTCACCAGCCAGCTTCCAGGCCCTTCTGCACCCTCACCCTGGCTTTCCTCAAATCCTGCTCTTCCTATCCATACTCCTCCTCCCTCTGCTCTGACCACCAGACCTCCTTGCCACCACCACTGAGGCTCCTGACCCCGTGACCCCACTCTCTCCCCCTGCAGCTCCTCATCAGGTAATTCTCCTGGTTCCGCTTTGACCACGGGCGGAGGACACTGGGGGAGGTGACTCCGGACCACTGCAGGTTGGTCGTGAAGCCCACCCCCTCCAACTCTCTGCAGCCTCTCCCTTCTCACTGCTGCTCACCACACCCGGAGACCCTGCACAGAACCCTAACAAAGGCACCAGCAGAAAGCACAACCACCGGATACCTTAGAAGTATTGAGTAGTACAGAGTTTGGCCCTAGACAGACCCAGCACATTCACACGATCCCCTCTGAGCCCAGACCCACCAGCCTCCTCCTGATACCACCCTCCTTTCCCTCTACCTATCCAGTGTATGTCTGTCACCCCCCATTTCACCAGAGCGTCCTGGGAGTTGGGATGTTGGAGTGGGCTTAACGGAGGAGGGGGATGATGGGCTGGGGGTCCTGGCTAGAAGGGCTGTGCCAACTCCAGCAGGTAGGTTGGGGTCTCCTCGTTCCTCCCTCACCCGGACTCTGTACCCCTCCTTCCTGCTTCTCTCCACGTTGGCTTTTTCTTCCTCCCTTATACCTGTGAGGCAGAAGGTGGCTGAGGCTTCCTTAGCCCCCAGGGGTTGGGAGTGGACAGCTCCTTTAAGAGGACTGTGGTTGTGCTCACAGTAAACAGGGTGGGCATCATACAGAGAAGACCAAAGACAGGGCTCTTGGACAGATATTAGGCTTGGGCTCACCCATGTGGCCTGTGAGTTACATGTGAGGAGAAACATCCTCACAGATCACATTAAGGGCTCAGTGGCCATGTTGTATCCCAGGCAGTGATGCCAAGAACAGCATGTTAAGTAACGGCTCTATTCCTGTCAAGGCTCAAGTTCCTGAGTTTCTAATGCCACTGACTCCCCCTCTCCTGTCACCCAGTGACCTTGCTGGACACATAATCCTACCCAAAGAAAACCTGTTAGCCACAGACCTTGTTCCTGAGACATTATTTCTGAAGGATGGATCTGCAGTGGGCAGTGGTTCCTCACACTGTAATTTCAACTCTGCCAGCCCAGCCTCTCTGTCAAAGTCCTTAGTGATCTGTAAACAGATGCTAAAAGGCACCAGGGGACCTCACCATGTAAAGGACTCCTGCAGTGAATTCTTCTGTAAAAATGAATAATGGCACCCTAATTTATCCACTTTCTAATTTGGGTCCATGAGGGCGTAGAGGGCATGCCCATGTGTCGTCATGAGCAGAAAGCAGAGAAGAGGCAGTCTGAGGATTCCTTCCCCTGCTCTCCTGCTGTAGGGACTCAGGGCAGCCTACCACACGAAGTCTCTCCCACTCACTCCCTGGCAGTGAGCTACCCAGAGCTAAGGGGCAGCCTTGCCTAAGGCTGTAGTTTGGGTGGTCTTCTGACAGGTGAGTCTTGGATTGTGGGATGGAGGGGAGAGCTCATCTGGGATCCTTGTGCCCCACATAAATGTCGTGTGGCTCAGAGTAATTTACACATTTGTTCCAGACCACTTGGCTTTGGTCTCTCTGAAGCTAGGCTATTGACACACAAACCAGTTGTGAGCTAGATTTTTTTCTTTTTTTGGTCTCTTTGAGACAGTGTCTCCCTGTAGCCCCAGCTGTGCTGGAACTCACTATGTAGAACAGGCTGGCCTCGAATTCACAGAGATCCACCTGCCTCTGCCTCCCAAGTGCTGGGATTAAAGGTGTGGGCCACCATGCCCAGCTTACCTGAGCTAGATTTTTTAAAAGCCAAGAAAATTGGCCAGAAGTGAGTGTATAAAGGGTGGGGGCCGGGTCTCAAGTCTTTTTCTCCTGCAGAAGGCTGGGCTGAGGACCTGAGCCAGGAGTTGGCCCCAGAGCCCTGGGAGGTTCTGAGGTCAGGCCCAGTGTCACAGGAGGGTCTGCTATTCAAGCTGGGAGCCCAGGGAGAGGGGCTGAAAATGAAAGAGGGTGGAACCAGCTGCAGATTCCTGGGGGTGCAGATGGGGGTGCACTGTGTCTAGAAGCTGCCAGTCATTTCCAACAAGCCTGAGGAGCCCTCCTACAGGATTTCCTTCTTCCACACCACTTCCCTGAATCCCCTTCCTTTCCCCCCAGTACAGTTAAACCTCTTTAATTTGGGTTGTTATATTTGAGAAGATGGACACTCTTAAGTGACCAAACTGAATGACAGTGTCTATTTAATGAAATGCATGTCTTCAAAATGTATACAGTAAGTAGAAATCGGTGAGCAAGGCCTCTGCCTCAGGCCCTCAGGGAGCATGCCTCAACCAATAAATCCGATTGTAAAGCCTGTTTGCTGGTATAGGTTAAATATCCCCTCCCACAGACAAATTTCTACCACAGATTTGCTTCGCACACCCTTTCTCCACAGATAAAGGACAACTCAAGCCCTGTTTTTTTTCAGTTTATGAACAAACTTCCAAATCCACAGGGGTTTGGATTAATGAGGCTTTGCTGTACTGCTTCCTCTGGTTCCTCAATACAAAGTTCCTACCTGGGATGGAGGGTGCTGGGAGGGCGGTCCGTGAGGTGCGGGAGGCAGCAGATACATAGTTCATGAAGCTAGTGGGGTTACAATGGTGGTGAGGTGAGAGCTTGCTGCTTTGAGCTGGTTTCCTGGTGTGACTGGGTTGAAGGCTTGAAGCCCCTGTTAGGAGTTGGGGTGAGTTCTGCCCCTGATCCCAGAGGACCCTTACAGGTGAGAAATAAAACAGGAGGGTGGGGTGCGGCTTCTCCCTGACAGAAAGGGCGGACTTGGCTGTGGAGTGGGCTGGTTGTGGGTGAGACAGGCGGCCACTGGGGGCTGGCATCCAGGCCCCTGCGAAGCGTCTCAATAAGTCCGCGCTCTCCTCTTTGGTGTCTTGCAGGAGAGGCAGCTTCCCCCCTTGGGTCCAACAAACCCGCGTGTGACGCTGGCCCCACCTTGGAACGGCCTGGCCCCCCCAGCCCCGCCTCCCCCACCCCGGCTACAGATCACGGAGAACGGCGAGTTCCGAAACACCGCAGACCACTAGCCCACCCAGCATCACAGACCTTCTTCCCTGTGCACCCCACCCCGCAACATCACCAACCACCAGGACTGGACCTCACCGAGGGACAGCGGGATTGCCTCCCTGACCGCCTCCTTGGGGCACCCGTCTGTCACCCCCACCGAACCATTTTCAGGAGGGAGAGCAGGACCCTTAGCTGCCCTCTTTTCCTTCCTGTCGGGATGCTGCCCCCTCTCACCCCTAGGGACCCTCACCCCAGGACACCACCTACCCAACACAGACCCCTTCATTCCGGGGTGCTATCCCCATCCTCTGCCTCATAGTTCCCCTGAGCACTGGGGGACAAGACCCTCACCCCATACTGGGGGTGTGGCACCTCCAAACTTTCAACTTCAGGGTGATTTTTTTTAGCAGTAACCAGAGCTGACAATCTAACTCCCTCCACCGCCCCATTTTGGCCTCCCCTGCCCCCCTTGTTATGGGGAGGGGACCCCGGGTGAGGGGCCCTATTACCCCTTGATTTCTCAGGCGCGTCTGGGGGGGCTCAGCACGCACAAACTCCTCTTTTCACTCTTACATTTACTGCCTCCCCGCCCAGAACCCAGATGGGGTGGAGGGGGCCACCGGGGCAGGGAGGGGGCGGCAAGGGGGGAATGGGAGTTGCCTCCCCTTCCTCCCACACCTGATCTGCTCTTGGCTGGTCCCAGAGCGGGGTGAGGGGGCTTATGCCCCCCCCTCCCCCAGTGTGTTGGGTGGGGTGGAATTGAGGTTCGGGCGAGGGGTTAGGGTTTAGGGGGGCATGTGTGTTGGTCTGCCCTTCTCTGACACACAGCCCCCACCCCTCCCTCTTCTTGGTCTCTACTCCCAGGGGGAGGGGGGAACTTAACTCTAGGAAAAGCCATGTCTCTCTCCCCCAGGGTGGGGGACCTGTGTTGGAGGAGGGGTGTTTGGGGGGCCCCCTTCCATGACTCTGTCCCCTGGGGGAGGTAGGACAGGGCTGGGCTTCCCTCTCATCCTCTCCCCCCACCCACCCAGTCTCCCTCCCTCCCGCCAGCTCCACAATTTTTCGGTGTTTCTCTGTACATAGCTCTCTGGCGGGATAGGGGAGGTAGGATGGATGGGGTTTGGGGTGGGCAGGCCATGGAAGGGAAGAAATTCCTTGGCACCCCCTCTTCCCTGACTGCTGTCCCCTACCCAGCCTTGCCCCTCATCTCTTCTTGCGTTTGATATTGAGACTCTTCCCAGACTCCCCTTTCTTTTGTATGGACAGCTCCCCCTCAGTCCCCTCCGTCTACACACATCCACCCAGCCGGGGCCAAATTTATACTTATATAAAAGTTGTAAATATGTGAAATTTTATCCCCGTGCCCTTTCCTTTGCTTTCCCCACTTCAGGCCCTACCCTCGGACCCCTTCCTCCTCTTTGGCTGTTGTAATTATCTGGGGTTTGTACTGTACATATCCGGGGTGTGTGTGGGGGGGCTGGGAGGCGACCCCTCTGTACAGAGCTTCCCAGCCCCCTGCCCCCCGCCCCTCGCTTCCCTCCCCACCCAACCCTAAGAGCGGGAGGTGGTGCTCCTGCTCGTTTTGTTTTGTTTTCTCATTCTCCCTCCCTGCCCCACTCCCATCCTCTCGGCCCCCTGCCTCTGCCCTTCTCTCCACTTCCAGCCCCATTTCCTTTTTTTCTGGAGTGTGTGGTGAAACAGAAAAATCATGTTTAATAAACGGAGATTGTTCTTTTGCCGCTGGGCCGACTTTCTTAGCCTGGGATTTCCAGGCGCGTGGCAGGAGCTACTTTTTGAGTGACGCTGCCAGCCTGGAAGCAGCCGACACCCCTTGGGCCCTGCCCCGGCCGAGAGACGCGAGTCCCGCCAGGGTCTCGCTGGGCTGACCCCTCCGCCCAGCGCCCCACCCGCCGCCTCGTCAGCCCGCGGGGGTTGGTGTACGGGACAAAGGCTGAACGGCTAACTCACCGGAGTCTAAGTAAAGTCTAGACGCGGTTTATTAAGATGATCCTGTGCGGGGCGCAGGAGAGAACCAGCTTCCAGCACTTGATGGCCGTGACTTCAGCCGGGGAAGCCGAGCGCGTCCACACCTGCCTCGCGGGTCCGGCGGACGAAGGGCCGGGGCTCGAGTACAGCTCCGGGGCCTCCAGTCCTCGCTTGCCTGGCCGTAGTGGCTCCCAGCCGCCCCTTGCTGCCCAGCCAATGAGAAGGAGGCTTGTAGGCCACCGCCCTCTGGTTGGCTGCGGTCTGGCCCCGCCCTGCGCAACCAACGTTAGCGTCCGGCTGAGCGTGCCGGCTTCCGACCTGGAAGGTACCGCGGAGGCCCAGGCGCCACGAGGTGGGCGCGCGTGGGGCGGGGCCTGTCGGTGAGAAGGCCAGTGCCCGAGCCGAGCGCGGACGGTGAGGCGGCCGAGGGCGGCCCGGGCCAGTAAGTCCAAGGCCCTCCTCCTTGGCTTCCGGCGGGCCTGGAAGTGGAAGCCCGGGTTGGTTTTCGTTCGGACCTCTCGGTGGGCGGAACTGATGTTCAGAAACTGTCACTCACGTTTCCACCCGGGGGTGGGGAGCGGTGAGACCCCGAGCCTGTGTGACCCGCGTCTCTTTCCTCCGCAGCCCGGGGCCCGCGCAGACGCCGGCTCCCTTCGCAGGGAGCGCGTTCCAGGAGGCCATGGATGCTTCGACGCCTTTGCCTCCGGCACCCCAGTCTCCGGTGCGGGGCGCAGCCCCGCGGACCATCCAGATCGAGTTCCCGCAGCACAGCTCGTCGCTGCTGCAGGCCCTGAACCGCCATCGGCTGGAGGGCAAGTTCTGCGACGTGTCCCTGCTGGTGCAGGGCCGGGAACTTCGGGCGCACAAGGCCGTGCTGGCCGCCGCCTCCCCGTACTTCCACGACAAGCTGCTGCTGGGGGACGCGCCGCGCCTGACCCTGCCGAGTGTCATCGAAGCGGACGCCTTCGAGGGGCTGCTGCAGCTCATCTATTCGGGGCGCCTCCGCCTGCCCCTGGATGCCCTCCCTGCCCATCTCCTTGTAGCCAGTGGCCTTCAGATGTGGCAAGTGGTGGATCAGTGTTCAGAGATTCTCAGAGAGCTGGAGACTTCAGGGGGTGGGGTTTCAGCCAGTGGGGGAGCCTCCTACCACACGCTGCTGTCCACCACCTCCTCGGGAGGCTGGTGCATTCGTTCCTCCCCTTTCCAGCGCCCAGCACAGTCCTCTGCTACCGAGAGTTCCGCATCCACCGAGAACCCCAGTGGAGGGGAGGGGAGTGAGCTAGAAGTGTTACAAATTCAGGTGAAGGAAGAGGAGGAGGATGAGGAGGAAGAGGCAGAGGAGGAGGAGGAGGAGGAGGAGGAGCAGGAGGAGCAGGGCTCAGCAGTCTCACTCGCTCAGACTCCCCAACCTCAGAGAGTATCAGGAGGGTTTCCCCGAACTCGTGGATCCCATCCACTGCAGGTACCTGCTCCTCCCCGCAGGCTTCCAGAGGTGGAGGGTTCAACACTTGAGCCCCCTGCCCCTCCTTTGCTAGCCCCCAAAATCTTCTATGTCAACCAGGAACCCTTTGCGGCCAAGGAGGCACAGTCAGGAGCTGGAACTCAGTCTGGAGGAGGAAAGGAGGAAACCAAAGCATTTTCTGGAGGGGACTCTGAGGGAAATGGGGAGCTAAGGTTCTTACTGTCCTCTGGAACAGGGGCAACGTCTGGGGCAGGGGATCCATCCTGGAAACCAGTGGATCTCCACGGGAATGAAATTCTGTCGGGGGGCGGAGGACCTGGAGGAGCAGGCCAGGCGGTGCATGGGCCAGTGAAGCTAGGAGGGACACCCCCTGCAGATGGAAAACGCTTTGGCTGCTTGTGTGGAAAGCGATTTGCAGTAAAGCCCAAACGGGATCGGCACATCATGTTGACTTTCAGCCTTCGCCCTTTTGGGTGTGGCATCTGTAATAAACGCTTCAAGTTGAAGCATCATCTGACAGAGCACATGAAGACCCATGCTAGAGCTCTGCACGCGTGTCCCCATTGTGGCCGTCGGTTCCGTGTCCATGCCTGTTACCTTCGCCACCGGGACTTATGCAAGGGCCAGGGCTGGGCCACTGCCCACTGGACTTACAAATGACTGCTAAAGCTGTACACTGACTTATAGGATGAGATAGCCACAGCTGCTGATGGATACTTAGCCCTCACTACCCCAGTCCTGGATCATGTAATCATGCTAAGAGATTACATATGTTACACGGACCTCTTACTCTTGGGTATGGGCCTCACCCTGACAGATTTGGAAGTTTAGATTTCTTACCCCAAGTTTTTGTTAACCATCCTGTAGGAAAGTGACTCATAGATCATGCCAAAATTGATCACTTAGCCAGATGGTCCTTTTTGTATTGATGTCCTGGGAGAAAACCAGATTAGATTAGTGAGGGAAGAGCTGGACAAAATGACATGTGACTTTATTTAGTCTCTGTGAGAAGTTGAGGGAGCTGGTCTCCAACAAGGAATGTTTGATCAGAACTCAAGTCATTCAGAGACTTGGTGCTCCCAGCCTTCTCTCCCTCATTGTCAGCAGAGTTCTGTTCATAAACCTCTTTTTGCAGAAGCTTTTTAGGTTGTACTTTGCTCACCAGTAGACACTTTCCCAAACACTCTTTTCAAAATGTAGTTGAGCACGCATTTGATTCCTGCACTCAAGGCAGAGGCGGGCAGCTCTTTTGAGTTTGAGGCCAGCCTGGTCTACGTGAGTTCCAGACTTCCAGACCAGCTGGGGCTACAAAGTGAGACCCTGTCTCAAAAAAAAAAAAAAAAAGTACTTGAGCACTTTAACAAATTGTACATTTCATGTGTCATTCCCAGAACCCTCTTTATACAGAGGATATTCCCTCAACAGATAATGCCTCTTGTTTGCCTTTGACTACCACTGACAACTTGTACATGACCCCAGTGACAGATGTGACTAGTGAGCTCAGGATGGCAGCTGGCACTAACATGCCCTCAGGGTATCTCCTCTGCTCCCTGAACAAGTTTTCCTCATCAAAGGAACTTGGGGCTGAGGCCATGCATGGTGAAGTCTGCAGAATCACCACATGGGGACCACCCTGCCTCCTCATCCCACCCACCTTTGTAGAGGTCGGGGCAGATACTAGAGTGGAAGTGGAGGGAGATGTTTTTTAAGTTTCTTGATTTCTCCTAATAAACTCTGCCCTGACATCTAAACTGACAACAGAGTGAGTGGAGTAGTTCACGTGGAAGAGATGTGGAGAGGGCAGGTGAGCGTGTTCCTCTTGGCACCAGGCTATGTTGAGGGAAAAGGGATCGTATGGAGAACACTGCCCTGGACTGAGGCCCTGACTGCTGCGGAGTAACCTCAGGTAAGTTACCTTTCAGTGTCTGAATTGTTACCACTGCTACCTGCTTCTCTGTCTTGTTTGAGACAGGGTTTCACTGTGTAGCCCAGGCTGACCTCAAAGGTAGGATCCTCCTGCCTCAACCTGTTGGATGCTAGGATTGCAAGCACATACCATGTTTGGTTTATGTCCACTTTTTAAAAAGGTTTGGGTCGTCTGATAGTTATTTATGATATTCCCTAACTTCTTGTATTATGCATAGTGCTCCATGGTAGTTTGGTTTATTTTTAATTAACATAGTTAAAAAAGTTATTTTATGCGTATGCCTGTATTGCCTGCATGTAGGTAAGTGCACCCATGTCGTGCAATGCCCGAGGAAGTCAGAAGAGGCTTTTGGATCCCCTGGGACTGGAGTTACAGGCAGTTGTTAGCTGCTGTGTGGGTGCTGGGATTCGAACCCGAGTCTTCTGCAAAAACAACCAGTGTTCTTAACTGCTGAACCATCTCTCCAGCCCCTTAATTAATAAAATTTTATGTGTAAGTGCACCATGTGATTTCAAATGCTCAGAGGCCAGAAGAGTATTTCCAGTTCCCTGGACAGTTGCTAGCTGCTGGGAACCGAACCTGGTCCTCTGCAAGAACAGCCAGTGCTCTTAACTGCGGAGCCATCTCTCCAGCCCTTAGTTTGGTTTATTACACAAACAAACCAAATTTAGTGCAAAGCAGTGTACTATACCCTGATTAATACTCTGCCCTGATGGGGAAGATGGCTCAGTGGGTAAGAGCGCTTTCTGCACAAGCACGAGGACCTGAGTTCAGATCTCAGGACCCACAAAAAGCCAGGCATGTAGCACTTGCCGCCAAGCCTCACAACTTGAATTTGATCTGTACATGCATGCACGCACACACATGCACACACAGTAGTTTAAAGAAAAATGTGAATTTTATGGCTAAGAACGTTGAGTTCTAGCTAGGATTTGCCAGACTCAAAAGAATCATGTCATGGTCTCATGTCTGGCAAGGATCAGGAACACAGTAGGGAAGAGACATGTCATGGTCTCATGTCTGTGGTCTCATGTCTGTTCCCTGGCTACCTAGGTTCCTTTGGTTGCAAGCAGAGGAAGTTGGTTCTGGCTCTAGCCAACCTTGCTAAAATGGAAATTTATGAAAGAATATGAAGTGGTTCCTGGTGACCAGCCTTTGGAAGAACAAGACCTGGGTCAGCTCAGAGGTTCACGGAGCAAGAATTCCATACATACATTTTGAGATAACAACTTTATTCTTGGTTGTGGGGTGTTTTGCTTTTTGAGCTCTGCCTGGACTGAACTTGTTGCAGAGGCTGGTGACTTGTATGCCTGGTCTCCTTCCTGAGTGCTAAGATTAGAGGGCACAGCACCACACCCAGATCATTCTTGGGGTTTTGTTGTTTGGGTTGTTGGTTGGTTGGTGTTGGGTATTGAATCCAGATCTTCACACTGCCAGTTGTGCGCTGCACCAGTGAGCTACAGACCAGCTCTGATCCTTGTTCCTTGTGGCACCGGTCTAAAGACAAAGTTTCTCAGGAGAGGTGTGGGATGGTAGATGCTTGCCTGGCAGGTACCAAGCGCTGGGTTTGACCTCCAGCTCAAGAGAACTTTCAACCTCATATCTACCTCTAGGCAGAGCACCTTGACCACATCGGTATGGCAACAGAATAAAGTGAGCATGGAATCATCAAAGGCAATTGAAACCCTGAGATAGAGGAGGGAAGGGTGGGTAGGCCAACCCATAGCAGCCGAGGCCCACCTCAAACTGTCGTTTAGAAATTTCCCTGACCATTGGGGCCGAGTGGGACCTCTGCTGTGTGCTCTAGTAGTTCTGACTTCCCCATATCATACAGTTCCCTTTGTTTAATAAACTTCTGGCAACTTCTTTGGTTGCCCATTATATGTAAGCACTGCCTTAGGGACAGTGAGCAGTGCCTCATAAACTTACCTTGCAGCGCTATAAATGAAATAAGCCAGGTAAGCTGCAGGGTAAAGAAAAGGAAAGCATGCCCCGCACATTGATGTAACTTGCAAAGGAAGGAGAAGATGGATCTAATAGTGTGGAGTGTAGCGGCTGAGAGAGAGTGGTTCGTTCAACAGGAAGATTGGTGAACCTAGAGCTACAGAGAGAAACGGGCTACAGGTGAAGAAGTAGGTTGGGCCTGGGTCGTACAGAGCCCTGCACATTGCGAGAAGGAGTTTGCATTTGGAAGTGTTAAGAGGAAGATTGTAATGAGTAGATGAATACTGACATCAACATTTCAGACTGTCAAAGTGAACACTGGACCATTAGGGAGCAGGAAGATCAGTTAGACTATTTTAGTAGTGCAGGTGAGTGAAATGGCAGGTTCACAGAGAAGCATTTAAGACTGGCTAGGACATTCTAACAAATTAATGTACAGATGATGTGATGGATTGGTCATGTAGCTCTATGGTAAAGCACTTGACTAGCATATAAGACCCTGGGTTCAGTCCCCAGCAGCAAATGCAAACACACCCATAAACCACACATAAAAGATTGTAGAAAGGCAGAATATCAAGGAAGATCTCGAGTTCAGTGAGTACAAATATGAGAACAGATCAAGAGGGTCTTTTGGCCAAGTGTGGTGGTACATGCTGAAGGAGGATGACTGCATTTGAGGTCAGTCTTCGCTACCTAGTGTGACCCTGTCTCAAAAACAACAAAAATGAAACCACTGAGTTGTTTGGATCACTGTATGCTCTCCAAAGGGACAGCTACATGTACTTGTCAGGTGTTTGTTTTTGTTTTTTACATTGGGGGTTGGCAAACAGTCTAGACAGGATCAGCTAGTGCCTATTTTTGGCATTGCATGCCAAGAAGGAAAACCAAGGAAGTGAATGTACTTGAAAAGTAAATGTCCTCAAAATTTTTACTGACAAAATTCAAAATACAGTAATTTGGCACAAATTCTTGTGCTTGAGTTTCATAGCGTCTCCTGTTGTGAAAATCAGTTGTACATGTGTTACGGAGTTCAGGGCCACCAGGAAAGACCACTCAGACTCAAAAAGTTCCGAATCAGCCAAATCTAGCTAGCTATCCAGGCACAGCACTCTCTCTCTGAGCCAATTTATGTAGTGCTGCCCTAACTAGGAGGAACTTTTAAAGGTAAAGTCCTTGGTACAAGATTTAAACTTTTACAATTTTATTAGCGTTTCAAAGAAAAATTCCCGGGGCAGGTGGGCTGGCAATCCCAGCAGCTGTCTTGAGAAGGGTGGGGAGAGGGA